TCTCTATTAACTTTGCAAGACATCAGTCTGAGTTGGAAGTTGTCTTCTGATAGGGCCCGAAATACTTCACGGCAAGCCTTCCTGGACTTTGAGGTTTGCATTGAGAAGTCTGCTGTGATTCTGATGGATTCACCTTTGTAGATGACTCTCTGCTTTTCTCTTACAGCTTTTACGATTCTGTCCTCGAGCTGGGCTTCTGGCATTTTGAGTATGTTGTGTCATGGAGAAGCTCTGCTCTGCTTCTGGTTACTTCGGGTTCTACATGCTTCCCTTATCTGTATGTTGGATTCTTTCCCGCAGGTGGAAAGTTTTCGGCCATTACTTATAATTCTAGTTAATCTTAAATTAGTCTTCTTTGCGTTGTCTTCGTGTCCTCTTGCTTTGTTTGAGGTACCTCTGAGACAGCCCCATCTTCTAGCCTCCGTCCTTCTTGTTGCCCATTCTCTTAGTAAACTCCTGGATTCCTAGTTGGTACCTTTCCATGGACTCAAATTCTTTGCTAAACTGGTCATTCAGGTTTTTCTTTGTTTTGCTTATCTCAGCTAGTTGTTTTCTTTAAACTCAGTGTCTTCCAGAAACTTCCTAATCATGTTGTTTATTGAGTCCATTATTTGTTTAGTTAAATCCTCTTTGAACTGGCTGGGTCCTTTATTGATCTTTTCAATCTCCTCTTCTATCTTTTCAAATAATTTGACTGTGTGGATTTTTATTTTTCCCCCTTGATGACTCACGGACCAGCTTTGGGGCAGTTGGGAGTTTGGGGAGACACTTTATTACCTGTCTTCTTGTGTGGGTTGATTACAGTGGAAGGATTTGCTGCTGCTACAGGTAACTAATCAGTCAATATCTTCTTAGTAATGCATTTGGGGCTAACAGTGGACCTTTGCCTCTCTTCTAGCCACTCTGTTTATTTGGGAAGGGAGGCTGCAGTGTATGTGGTACTGTGTCCAGCCCTCCAGGAATGGTCACAGAGTTGTTAGTAATACAAAGGCAATTTAGAGACCAGCATACAGAGAAAACCAGGCCCATAGGCAGCCCAAGGAGCAGCCGGTGTGCCACATGGCAATAGGACTGGGTTCAGATAGAAGACAGGGTGGTCTGGAGACTGTGGCGAGGGTGGCCTCTATTCACAGAGCCCGGTGGCCTGGCCACCAGCCCCTGCGGTCTTCTGGGTGATGGGTGTTTCTTCCTCCTCCACCCTCCTCTGCCATCTCCTTGGGCTTCTTGTGTGTCACTGAGTCCCAGAACCTCCTCCTAGCTAGGGCTCCTGGTGCACCAGCAGGCTGTGTGCTTTGGACTCAGGGCCTTGCTGGATGGACTGGGCTGCAATGGAGAGCAGGGGACCTGCCTCGTAGGTTCCCGAGGTCGCCAGCTGTAAGGACCTTGTCTGGTGTACACAGGAGCTCAGGGTTCTCACTGCACTGGAAGCTGGTTGAGGTCTAGAAACTCCGCCCTCTCTAAGAGCTTCCCAGCCTTGAGGGCTATGCTGTGGGCTCCTCCTGGTAGATTAATCATGATTCCTGAGGCAGCAACCCTCACTGGCTGTGCTTTGCCTCAGGCCCTGTGACAAGCATTTCATATGGGGTCTGACCCAGACACACGTGCTACTGTGCCACTAGAAATTCAGGAGCAGGCACTGGAAGCTGCTGCTACCCTCTGGAATCCGCATTCTTTCCCTCGCCAACAGATTGTGTGGGAATGTTAGAGGGGCAGTAAGAGACAAGCCGTGAAGGCCTAAGTGAGGAGGAAGGGTGCAAGCCATTGGGCGACTGGTGACACAGCTTCACTGGGACCCCGAAGTGACTGTGGGCTTTGTATTATCACAGCGCCACACAGGTAGCAGGGCACGTTCTAGTGCAGGAGGGGGAACCCAAGAAGACTCATTCCAAGGGGCTGAGCTTCCCTCAAATGCAGGACCCCTCAGCCTAGCCATGCAGAAGCATGTCAGACAGCTGGGAGCAAGCGTGGAACTGCAGGACATCATTCCCCGAGGTGCAGTGGGCCATGGGGTGAGGTCACTCCTCACATCCCAGGCACCCCAGCCTTTGTGGCCCTTCAGGGCGCTCATGCTACTGCTCCCAGGCTTTTGATTGGGTTTGCTTTTTATCACTTTCTCTGTCATATTCCCAGACATGGTTTTCGTCCAGTGCTTCTTCTGCGTGGGTTACTGAGATTCTGGGATCTCTTGAGTTTGTGTTTTGAAGTGAGGTTTGGGAAAGTATGTCCAATATTTCTTCGTACCTTTCTGCGCTTCAGTGTCATTCTCTTGTGCAGCAGAGTTTAGCATCACACTGATGTGGGGCAGCTTGGCACCAGCCCACACTGCTCTCATTTTTCTGACCTCGCCCGCCTTCCTGCGGGATGATGTCTGTCTCTGCATCTTCAAGGTGCCTGTCTTCTTCTCTCACCCTCTATCCGTTGCTCATGCAGTGAGTATCACATTTCAGGCACTGCAGGTTTCAGTTCTAGCATTTCCACACTTGTTTATTTTCTCTTTTTCTGGGGAAATTTCCTATCTAGACGCTTGCCTTAATTCTTTGAACACAGTTCCTTTGTTCTTTGAATATATTGGAATGGCAGCCCAAAGTTGCTGATTGCCAATCTGGATTGCTGAGCATTTGCAAGTTTTTTCTTGATTGATTTTCTGAGACTAATGAATTACATTTTCATCAGTACATTTTGACGTGAGTTTTCTTTGGTTATTTACTAGAAGTTGCAATCATATAGTTAGTCTCCAGGTTCTAAGATGACTATTGATTTGTGTTCTAGCACCAGCAGGTGCAGGTTCATAGCCTCAAGCCCGATGGGCTTGGCTGTCCCCCGTGGGATGCCTGTGTGGAAACCCTGCCTGGCTCCTGAGCTCTGTGACGTGGTGGGAGCCCACATCCAACCTGTGCCCCTGGCAGCCCTGTCCTGGCCAGGAGGCTTGGGAGAGTAAAGTGTGCAGTGTCCTATTCTTGCTTCCCGTCCTCATTCCCCGGACACAGAATACAGTCTGAGCTGGACCACGGAGCCCCACGCTGAGTGGTAGAGTGCTGCCTGGTGGCCTTGACATGGGCAGATGCATCCATACTCCCAGAGGGCTGATGGTTTTCAGTGACACACCCCTCAGCAAGGTTAGCAAGCCCCGTGGCTTGAGGTTCTGCGGCTGGGAGCATCTCCTGTTGACCTTTGACCTCCTTCAGTAGAGCAGGGCCAGGTGTCTGCTTACACTGCTGTCCCCGCACTGCATAGAGGACACTGTCCACAAGCAGTGCTTTGCCTGGGTGGGTAGGTGGAGTCCCTTGTGTATCTTCTCAGTCTCAAGAGTGACAATCTGCTATCCAACACACCAGCAGTTGACCTCTGTGGTCCACACTCAGTATCTCAGCACAAGGAAAGACTGCTGGGCTGACCCATTGGACTCTGGCCTTTTCTTCTCCAAGCCCAGTGGATGCTCCTGTCCTCAGCATCTGTTGCATTCTGCTTGCCAGTATGTTGTCAAAGATTTTGTGTTCATCAAGTCTGTGAGTGAGGTTCCGGTCTGGTTCAGGAAACAGAGTCATGCTAGAGTCCTAGAATGACATGGGAAGTATGCTATTACCTTTCCCTTTCGGAAGGAGCTTCCAGCGGATCGGATTTGCATCCTCTGTGAAGGTCTTGTAGTGTTCAGTGGAGAATCAGCCACATGTTTGGCTTTGCTCATGTGGCAGATTTTTATTACTGTCGACATGGATTCTGGGTAGGTGCTCGGCAATGCCTCTTGTCATCGGTGGGCATTTTAGAGGTGAAAGGTCCACAAAGTGTGAATCTGGGGTTAAGTGTGTGCAGCTGGGGAGAAGGGGGATAGATTACTCAACTAACTAACTGTTAGGCTTGGCCTATGTCTCAGCATGGGATGAAGGAAAGATGCGTGTTTATATCAGTGAGATAACGCTAACAAGTTTGCCCTGAAAAGAAGATAAGGGACAGAAAGTAGGCCATAACCATTGTATCACCAGTGTGCATGTCTCAGTTTCACACGCAGTCCTGCTTGTGTTCATGCGGTTACACTGAAATTTGGAGCCTGCTCACATATTTTCCGATTGTCACCTCCTTCTGCTCTCTTTCTTTGGAGAGGCTTCTTCATGAGTCTAGAGAGCCTTTCTTTCCCTGTTCTGCTTCCTTTGCGCCTTGAAGGATTCTTTGAGAACGAGATGGTTCTCCCTTGTTGATTTTGGGTGACCGGTTGCATGTCATGCTCATTTTCCCCTTGATTTCTAGTCCATGAATTTCTTTCCCACACAGTGAGTCTGTTGAAAGCCCCGCAGCTAGAGTCTGACCTGAGAAGAGGCTCCGGAGGACGTGGGCTGACCCCCGGGCGCAGTCCTCGCTGACACGGGTCCTCTGGTTCCTGACTTCCCTGTTGCCTCCATTTCCGCGGTAGTTTGTCACCACTCACCTGGTTCAGCCTCGTTACTCCATTCGTCTGTGGGCTCCCTTGGCTGGCTGTCTCTGTCTAGGATGTCCCTGAGTGTTTCTGGAGTGTGGTTTGGTCATAGACACCCTAAGGTGCAGTGTGTCAAGGAAAAAGCTTCCTTTTGGTGCCATTTCCACAAAGTGCTTTGCAGAGTTTCTTAGCATGTGTTTCTCTTTAGGGCTCAGGCTTCAACCCTCTTCCTTAGGCAAAACAAACATCAAACAGCAAAACGAGAGCAAGACAGAAAGAAGGAGGGGAAAATAAACGAAAACAAAAGAAAAACAATGGGATGGAAAAGACACGAGACAGACAGTGTCCAGCCCTCCCTCCCACATGACTGCTCTGAGATCTCACCATATCTGGTTGGCGCCCAGGGCGTGTCCAGCCTCCCATCTTCTCTGGACCCGCACAGCCTCCCGGGACAAGGGTGAGCTGGGTGGCATTTGGAAAGGCAGCGTCCCACCTGGAGGGAGAGCTCACAGCAGCATCTTGGGGTGGGGGATCTGGCAGAAGTGACAGGGGAAGGGGAGGGAAGCAGCCAGCATCCAGGTGGAGGCTGTGCAGTGCTGGGCAGGATTGTTGTGTCCCTGCAGCTCAAAGAGGGTGCAATTAGGGGAGAAGCTGAGGCTCCAGGAACAAAGGAACAAGCAGAGTGGGAAAGTAGGAAGTCAGAGCAGGAAGACAGCAGAGCCGTGCGTGTGGCGGGCCTGCCGGGAACCGGGTATAAATGCAGCTCGGGGTGGAGGCCCAGACCTCACCAGCACCTCCTGCCAGCCACAGCCACCTCCTCTCCCTCGTCCGCCATGTGCCACACCAGCTGTTCCCCGTGCTGCCAGCCGGCCTGCTGCGGGTCCAGCCCCTGCCAGGCTGCCTGCTGTGTGCCCGTGAGCTGCAAGCCTGTCCTGTGCCTGACCCCATCGTGCCAGTCCTCGGGGTGCTGCCAGCCGTCGTGCCAGGCCTCCGTGTGTGTGCCCGTATGCTGCAGGCCAGCCGTGTGCGTGGTGCCCTCCTGCCAGTCCTCGGGGTGCTGCCAGCCCTCCTGCCCCGCCCTCCTCTGCAACCCTGTCTGCTGTGGCAACTCCTCCTCCTGCTGCTGCTGACCTCCTCCTGCTGCGGCTGCTGAACTCCCATCTCCGTGTCCACTCTCCGGGACATGGGACAGGGGACCGCCACTATGTACCTCCCGGGCCCATGTGGTCCCGCATTGTGGCAGACAGGAATCCTACTGGACTGAGCTGCTGGACTCTGAGCTAGAACCCAGCAAGGGGCTCCAGAGCCTCCCTTTCCCTCTCCCAACGCAAAGGATGCTCCTCTCCTTAGCATCCGACCACTGCCCCATGGGAGCCAAATAAATCCACTTTGCCAGTGCCCGTCTCTGTGTTTCTGCCTTGCTTTTGATACCCGTGGGTCCTGGCTCTCTCTGTGCGCTGGGTGCCATGGTTCCAGCCCAGATTCCACTCTCCCCTCACACGAAACTTAAGACCCAAGCCCGCTGAGCACCAAGACACGCACATGGCACACTGCTGTTGCTGCTCAGGATACAGCTTTCTGGGAGTGGCTGAGCCTGTGCTCTAGCCTCCTGCAGAAATCACACAAGTTCTAAGCTGCAAGCAGGAAAGGTTGTACGGGGTCACCCTGGCCGTGTGTGCAGAGTTGAGAGTGAGCCAGGCAGGACAGGCTGGGATGTTGTGCGAAGGGCAGGGTTGTGTGTACAGGAGAGCCCGTGCTCATGCAGGAGGGCCCGGTGTTGAGGGACAAAAGCACCTGGGAAAGCAAGAGAGTCAGGGGCAAGGTGGCCCTGCTGGTCGACTCTTGGACTGGAAGCGTGTGTCCAGGGCAGAGCACACGAACTCCGGGAGGTGGCAGGAGCCAGCCCGGTGGGGTGTCGAGTGTGTCGGGAAAGCTGGCCAGCCTGCCCAGGGCCGAGGTTTCCTTAGGTGCTGTTTTGTCTTGCACCTCCAGCACAAGTTGGTGACCCCTAGCAACCCGCACGTTCGTTGCCTGGACCCATTGGTCTGTCATGGCCTGTAGGCTGCTTCCAAGATGGAGCTATTATGCATGGTGTGGTCCTAAGCCTGGCCCCACTTGGATCCCTGTAACCTCACCCCTGTGGGTATCTGGGGAAGATATGCAGAGCTGGAATCGCTGGAATGCATCGAATTTCTCCTCTTAGAGTTTTGAGGAAAGTGTATACAGATTTCTACGCTGGTTAAGTAGTTGATGTTGAAATCTAAGGCACACGAGTCTCCCTTCCCCAGCCCGCCAACCCACAGCCTCTCCAGCGCTCGTTGTTTCTTGATGTCTTCATGATGGGATGGTGTGCTATCCAGGTGCTGTTAGATTGTAGATCTCTGGTGGCCTGTGCTGTGGATGGTTTTGTCTGTGCTTTGGGTCCCGAGATCTTCTCCAAGAAGTGTCTATTCATGTTAGTTGCCCAGGGTCTCCCTGCTGTGCTGTTTGTTTTGGAGGCGGCGAGTCTGACTTTGTTAAAGATCTTTGCGTTGTCTACGCCTGACTCCTGTGTCCGAGCAACACTTTCCTATCTCATTGTCCTCAGAAAAGCTGTCTATACCCCCAACATAATGAACCCAAATTAAACACAACAGGATAGAACTAATCAAATCCGATGAGCAGAAGCCTCATAGGACCTCAAAACAAGGTGATAGAAAGTCAGCATTGGCTACCGTAATGTCTCATTTGTTTCAGAATACATGTTCATACCATCACACACAATAGAATGAAAGAAATCAATAAAACCGATTATATCAATGAATGAGAGCATTATAAGACTTCAAAGAAATACGTTAGGAAACCTAGGTCATCATCACAGATCCCATTATATTCAAAATAGCTGCCCCTCTCCTCATGTGGGTAAAATAGAACAACACAAGACAGAACAAAGCCTAACCTAACAAAATTGTTTAAAAAAAACCCAAGAGTTCAAGGCAATAAGAATTTAACAGTAGTTAATGCCTTTCCCCCCGAGGTGTTTCCTCCCCTGGCACTCTTACAGTAACTCTTGCTTTTGGGTCCCATTAACTCCTTCTGTTCCTGATACTGGGGTCACGTGTATAAGTCGCACGGTTTCACCCCTGAACATGATCTCCAGTTCCGTCCATTTACCTACAGCAGCCCTGAAATTATTCTACCTGCAGTTGGGTAGCTCTCCAGTGCAGGAAAATACCATATGTTCCTTGTCCATTGTGCGGTTGATGGGCAACTTACCCTTGCTTTGTTTTCTGGTTTTCTGTCGCATGGGACACTTGTTTTCTCTCCTTTGCTGTTCAGTCCATGAATTTCTTTTCCAGTCAGATGTGTTTCTTGTATACAGTGTGTCGATGGATCTTGTTTCTTGACCCACTGTCCCTATGTTCCTTTTTGTTGCTGACCTGAGCCGATCTACACTACTGGTTCAAAGCAGCACACATTGGTTTGTCTCTGCCCTGCTGTCCTCCTTCTGTTGGCCCTCCACACTTCTCTTCATTCCATTGCCTGTCCTGTTTGGCGATCCTCCTCTGCTGCTTTTCCTGGCACCATGGTCATCTCTATCTCTCTGTAGAATATGCCTTTGAACTCTCTGTAAGGTTGGTTGTAGTCACGAATTCCTTCAGTTGTTCATTATCATGGTCGTATCTTATTTTTCCATCAATTTCAAACTATAGTTTGTAGGGTAGTCAACTCTGGTTTGGACGTTGTTTTCTTTCAGGGTTTGAAACACTTCCCTCCAAACTCTTCTTGACTGGATGGTTTGTGTTGATACGTCTGCATTGATTTTGATTCGTTTTCTGTTATAAGTGCTCTGTTTCTTTTCTCTAACAGCTTTTAATATTCTGTTCTTGTGCTGAATTTCTGGGATCTTAATTATTACATGTCTGGGTGTACACTGACTTTGGTTACGGTAGTTGGAGTCCTATAATGCTTCGCTTACCCGCATGCCAGATCCGTTTCCCATGTTCGGGAAGTTGCGTTCTCCTACTTCTGTGAATGTCCTTTGAATTTCATTTGTGTTGACCCCTGCTTCTTCAGCGACACTGATCACTCTTCAATTATGCTTCTTTGCATCATCTTGCAGCCGATGAGTTGTTATTTCCGGATTCCATGTTGTTTTTAAGAGACCTTTTGTTTCACGGTCACAAGCTGCAATCCTGTCTTCCACGCTTGAAAGACTATCTTCAGTCTCTCTCAAGCTGTTTCACGAACTTTCAAGTTAATGTTTAATTTTCCGGATCTCTCAGAACCTGCTTCATGCATTGTAATTCCTTTCTATATCCTTTCAAAGTTTCTGTCATTTTCCTGTGCTCCTCTTTTTTGTCTGTCTTCTTTAGATCTGCTGAACAATCCTTCCAGTGTGTTTGTGATTTCTTCTTTGACCTGAGACGTTATATCTGATTTGACTGCTTTTGCAATCTCATGAAGTTGTTTCTTTATTTCTGTTGCTACACTCTCAAGAGATTAGAGGTGCGCGACTTGCATTTGATTCCATGACTGTATCTTCCAGAGTGGTTCTGTGTGGGGTAGAGGTCTGAGGATGCCTTTTCCTCCATCATCTTGATATTCTCTTGGCTTCCTGTAGGTTCCCAGGTACTTCCCACGTTGCGTACCCTTCCATGGTGCAGGGGGCATGGGACAGGCACCCAGTTCCTCTGACCCCAGATTTACAGGGAGGTAGCAGGGGGGCATCTCCTCAGATGTACAGCTACAGTGGGGATTCTCTGCATGGGGGTGGGGCTGCTTCTCTCAGCCTGTGTCTACACTGGGACTGCCGTGATGGTGGCAGACACACAGGGCTGTGTTTGTCTGATTCCACTATTGAGTGATGACTTCCAGAAGGAACCAAGGGCCTGCAGTGGGGGCCTACAGGTGCACAGGGCTTATCTGGCTGTTTTTCCCTGTTCCTGCAGGCTATGTACAAGAAGGAGCCTTCTGATGGCTGCTCCCTGCAGCCAGAGGTGGATCTGTCTGGCTCTGTCTGTCCCCACTGGCATTCCTAAGGAAAGGGCCTTCCAGTGGTGCTGCCCAGCAGGCAGACACAGATCTGCTGGCTCTCTGTGCCAGCAGTGGTTTTGCATCCTGTCTTCAGTGCTGTGCATTCTCATGTCTTTTGAAATGCTGGTGCAAAGCATGCTGTTTCCTTTCGTTGTTTCATTTTGCTTCCTATAGTTCTGGCTTCCTTTATTTTGCTCTGCTTTATGTGTTGCGCCCCGCATCTTTGCAATACACTTGAAGCCCAGGACTTGGACACCTGTCCTCTGCTCTTCATGCCCTGGAGGGCTTTGGGTATTCTCGGTCTCTCATGGACCCTGGTGCTTTGCAGGGCTGTGTTCTCCATGCTGTGAAGACCGCATGTTGGTAGCTGGATTGCGGTTACTTTGGCTGTGTGGATCCCCCTTGGAATCACGGCCACTGTGACCATCAGTGTCCCTGCCCGTCCAGCAGTCATTCTCGATGCTGCTGTGTACAGAGTCTCTTCCGTTTCAGGTTTTTCAGCAGGTTCATTACTGGGCTGGAGGAGTCGTGCTCGTGTATTACGCATTCTGTCAGGTTGAGTATTTATTGTAGGCATCTTTTGGTGGTGCTTGTGTGTCTGCTCTGGAGAGCATCCTGTCATCAAGTAAGTAAACTTTGACCTCTTCTTATCCTATTTTAATATTGTTTTCCTTTTTCTCCTTGGGTGCTTGTTCTGGCTGAATTTTTAAGTACTATATTGAACAGCAATATAGATAAGAGAAATGTTCTCATTCCCAATTTGAGGGACAAAACAGTGCTTTCCACTTGCTGGGTTGTTGGCAGTTGAGTTGTGAAGGATGAGTTATACCAGATCGAGACGTGGTCCTCCCGTGTCCCTCCTGGGACTGGTTTCATTTTGTCCCATAGGCGCTGGCAACCGGGACCTGCCCTCCCCTTTGCTTCCAGGAAATGTTTCCTTCTTTGCTTGACCACTTGTGTCACCACTGTGTGTTCAGGGCTGTGTAACTCTATGTCCCGATGCTTGTAAAGCTCTCTGTGCTATTTGTGTGCTTGATATCTAGGAGAAGTGCTCCGGGACGCCCAAGACACTGTGTGCTTGTGGAAAGGACCAGAAGGGGCTGCTCTGCAGGTCCCTTGGGAGGAATTCCTGGGTCTTGCTGAGAAGAACATGTGTTCTTTAGCATTTGGGTAGAAACCTCAGCAGACAGTGTTTGATTTGTCTTACGGAAAGGTCTGGTTTCGCTGTGAAGCTGAGTTATCTTCTGTTTCTCTAACTGCCTTTATTCATTTAGTTATTTTGTCAGTTAGGTAGTTGGTGTTTTGAAAGTGGGCCTTGAGGTTCAGCCCTGTACCACGTCTCTGTTTGCCTGAACTTTTACAAGCGGTTCTGTTTGTTTCCGTG